AAAGATCTAGTGTAACCCGTTTCAGTACAATACTTCATCACACAAGCCGGGGAAATCAGCTGCGCCTATATCTACTCTGGAGTCCCCATGGACCACTGTTGTCTATTCTGGCGTGCGTCAATCAATTAATCAATTGCCAGCCCCCCGTCGAAAGAAGAGTCGCTGGTATTCCTGGTTCGTTGAAAGCCACAATCATCACAATTATTACCTCAGCGTAACCCGTCTACTCAGCGGACGAGCCTGAGCAGTCTAGCGTGGGTTCGATTGCGAGACCTGCATTCCGGTAACCTCCACAGCGGGATACTATCTATATTTTTTGGGGTATTTTTCGCTCTGGTTAAGTACCAGGATCTTGGGATACAAAAGTCCGTTAAACCCACACACGCTTGGGGGCGAGAACGACCATATTCCCCGGCTGTCTTTCCCGGTCGCGAAGAAACCTAATCTCGGTCGTTTCACGCCAGACCCGGTCAGCAGAATAACTCGGCTTCCGTTAGGCAGTTTGCGCGCAACGTCCTAAGTCGGACGATTGGTAGCGCGGATCCTCCCGTCGATAAGGCGAAATCGCAAAACCGTCTTCTGATCTGTCCGCTTCGATACCCGCTCGTCCATGACGCCACGGTAAAATCAGTAGTTGAATCTACGACGGAATCGCAACGCACCCACGGCTCTCGTTTCCTCTCTAACCCCGGGACCGAACCCACAAATATCCAGTCCCCATTGATGCTAGTTACCTAGTTGCTGGCACCTAGTATAGCTACTAGCGTACAAATCTGGACTTCGCTTTCCTCAGCAATATACTACGTTATAATCTTGAACGAGCTTGTTTGTGCTTGGGCGGTCTTCTGGAGTCGCGAGCAGAAAGTCGAACGGCCTGATTGCATCGCCGCCATACTTTGCGGCAAACTCCATTACCAGGATTCTTGCATCCCCCTTTCGCCGAGAACTGCATGAAAGCCTAGGCCGACCTTGTATGCCCACCAACCCGAAGCCGTGATACACGAGCAAGGGCCCCGCGAAAGTATCGCGATTGCTCAGAGGTCCACATCACAGACCTTCACATTCATCTTCATCGTGGCTAATCCAATCGCATTATTGAATTTTCCTCAATCAGCCTGCGACCAGGAGTATCTTGAACATCGACAATCGAACGCGTCTGTTTACTCTACGTCAACGACATCAGACGGCACATTTGTGGGCAGCCAACGTCTCCAGCCCGGACAAAGTCGCAGGTGTAGTCTGAACTCAAACTCTAGGCCGAAGAAGGTATCAAAACCAACGAGTCGTCGTGTCGCGCGATTGCCCAGCGGTGCTGGGTTCGAGCTTGAGGGTGGACTGATGGCTGCGACGGAAGCAAACGGTGTTGCTACGGCTTTGGCCGTTCCTCCAGTCGCGAATCGACCTAAAAGAGTGCGCACAGGTATTTGCAGCCCCCGAAATGCCTTTGATATTGCGATTGCGTACTGACTAATTACTCTGTAGGCTGGTAAGAATTTTCGTCTGATGTTTCAATGGGTGTGTACTGACTTCGGAAACTAGCTTGACCTGCAGAGAACGTCATCTCAAATGTATGCTTAGCTTCCTCTCATGTTGTGATAGCTCTTGAGCAAAATAGCTTACTGTTCCTTCGCAGGCGATGAGGGGTTACCACATTGTCAGGTTCGCTACACCCCTAGCCTGGTCTTTAATCAAAAGCTCACCATTTCAATAGAATTGTCGAAAGTCAAGCAGGGTGTGCAAGCGTGGCGTACGGCTAAATTTCATCGACACTCAAGTGCAGAATCCTCCCATCATACCGCCGACACATGAGTGGAATGGTAGGTTATCCATTCCTTCACATCGAAGACTAGAATACTATCTCACTGATCGAAGTGCACTTCCAGGACGAGTCTCGAGAGATTGCTTCCGAATACAAAGGTGGTGTTGGACGCTATCCTTCTCTTGAACAAGCAACACAAGCTCGGATCAAACCCGAACCACACCTACTGTTTTCCACAAATGGGTCGAATGCCACATCGGGACAGTCCCACCATCCTCTGCCACCAATTCAACCGCTGTTACCCGATAGATACCCAGAGGCGTCACAAGCCCCAATATTGGATCATGGGAGGGAAAACCAAAACCATCATACCCATTCAAATAGCGATTCGTTATCCTACTCATCGGGCCAAAATCCTCCTCCGTCGTCATATAGCAATCCAGACCAGACTCTTACCCCGCCAAACGAAACCCGGGATTACCTCAACTCGCCGGAGGAGACCTTGTTCATGCAGGTATTCGTCGAGGAAGTTGGCCTGTGGATGGATAGCATGGATCCAATGAAACATGTGAGCTTAACTCCCCATTTTCGGCACCGAAGACTAATGACTCCTCGCCTAGTTCTCTCGACTCTTGCCATTCCACTCACTCGGCGAACCGATGCTGTTGAATGCTTTTCTAGCGTGCGGCGCCCGCCATCTCACCCTAGTAAACCCCGCCTATCACGATGAAAAGGCGTTGCACTACTACGACACAGCAACGAGGGGCCTGCTCAAGTCGCTTCAGAACCCTAACCGTGATACAGTCATATGCGCCACGACAGCTGTTATTCTAAACGTGTATGAAATTATGTCGGAGCGTGCCCTACAACGGATGAATCACATCGCGGGAGCTAGAGCGTTAATCAAAGAATGTGGCTGGAGTGCCCGCTCCACGGGGATTGGTGCTGCATGCTTTTGGCTCAATGTTGGTATGGAGTTGCTCAGCTGTCTCCATTTCAACTGGAAAGTTGCGTGGGAACCCGACGATTGGGGTGTCGATATGGACTTCTCTCGGGAAACGGAATCCGGTCGTGAGGAGATTTGGACGTATCGAATTGTTTATATCGTGGCAAGGATCGCAAATTTTCGAGCGTCAATTCCTCGCCACCCAGAACCTACGGCTAACGAGGAACATATACGGCTTCAAAATCGGTATGTCGAGTGGAAGAATCTCAAAGATTTGTGCGATTCCTGGAACGAGAATATCCCACGAACAATGCATCCGATGGCTTTCTTATACTCCTACCAAACAACTTCAAAATCTGCCTTCCCCGAAATCTGGTGTGTAACCTAGCCTTCATCTTGGGTACTAGATAGCTAACGTTAAAGCATTAGGCTGATCAAGCGCACAACTATTGTCGCTCGCCTCTTTTATCACACTGCTATGTGCCTCCTGTCGCAGATTAATCCTCTAATGTCTAATGAAGCCGACGAAATGCATGATTTGCAAATGCACCACTCGCATCATGTTTGCGGGATTGCTGCTCACGTCAAGGATCGGTTAGTTCTGACCCTACTTGCCTTATGGGAGTGTTACGTCTAACTTTCATCAGAGGTGTTGCGAGCGTCGCTCTTCGGTCCTTGGCTATCGGTGCAGAGTGTCTCATTGATCGCAGAGAACAGGAAGAAGTCCTCCAAATATTCGAAAAGATTAGGAAAGAGACCGGTTGGCGAATCGGCGGCCTCATCAAAGAACTTAAGGAGAAATGGGGTTGGATTGACGAGGAGGCGCTACGCCAGCAGCAGCAGCAGCAACAACAACAGCAGCAGCAGCAGCAGCAGCAGCAGCAGCAACAGCAGCAACAACAGCAACAACAGCAGCAGATAGGTTCATCAGGTGTTCTACAGTCATTTCAGCAATACCAGCCATCGTCGCAACCGTCTAATCTCCCTCCAGCGCCAGCGGTCCGGCGGTTTGCGGGAATAACTAATCCCCTTATGGCATCGGCCGACTTTACGTCTCAGCATCACCCCTATCAGTCCTACTATGTTGCGCCAAACCAGCATCCTCACCACAATCACTACAACTTTTGATAGACTTAGCGAGTTCCAGTGACATCGGTAAATTTCTCTACAGATATCATTTACTAAAAATTTTAAAACTCTCAGAGTTCTCTTTTTCAAAGAGAGTGAAAGGGGATATAACCTCCCTATATTCTGTATATCTGTCATTTCAGTTTGGGTAATTACGGACTGGTGGTCATATAAAAGCACTCGGCATTAGGTGCATGACACTCTTATTTTCCACTGTTGGTCGACTCGTTCTTATCTCTGTAGGGTATGTAGGTTATCGGCGGGTCAGCAATGACGTTGGGCTTATTTAACGCATGAACGTGGCATGGCGCACGGGATGACTTGACACTTTCTTCGAGTGTTAATTACTACTTATTTTCATGAGCGAGTTCCTTTTCCCTTTTTTGCTTGCGTAATGTCCAAATAATGATGTAGTAGCGCAGTTGTGTTGGCTGATCGGAATAGCCTGTATGAGTATATGAAACAGGGTACGGGTGGAAACTAATGGAGCACCTATTCGCAGCGTCTGGAAATTATCTGGGACGCTTCTAGTTTCCTTTCCTCTATCCTCTCGAGGGGTCTACGCAGCCGTACTCAGGCTTGTATGATTATCTACACCTTGAAGATTCGATGTATCTATCATATTGATAATAAGATCTTAATTAGTACCAAATACAGGCCGCATTACTGATATCAAATCAGAATCCTGTCTGCCTCATATCACGGATAGGGTCTTATGAATATAAAAGCTGCTTCCACCAAGGCCTCTTGCATTCCGATATGAGTTCGGGGGTATTCTATATGCGAGGTCGATCTTATTATATGCCGCTTAAAACGCCATCCCTACCCCACCGATATCGATCGTATCGGCTTGACTAGGGATTTGAATCCCCTGTTTGAACTACTGAGTCTGGTTGGGTAGGAGAAAGGGGGGGAGGTGTGGTGAATGAATTTGTTGTATGCATGCTGCGGCTGCCTAACCGGGTGTAAAGTGGTGTGAACCATGGTTCGTTCGTTCATTCATATATCCATACCATCCATATACCCTGGACGGGCGAACAGCCGGACAGAGCCCATAACACTACCTACCATAAGGGGATCGGAAAAATTAAGTGCATTTTATCGCGGTACCCTCTCAAATTGTCCTATTAATGAAAGAAAAATAGGGGCTAAAAATATATATATATATGCCCACTTTGGGAGTTGAACCCAAGGCCTCGTCATATGCAGATCACGTGATTGAAACCTTTACGAGTGACGCGCTCTACCACTGAGCTAAGCGGGCATTCATTAATACTAATAGTCGTTATTGGCTTATATATATATGTATATATATAATTATTCCTGGCGAATTACCGCTTCCGGTTAGACTTGCCTCTTTGGGATTGGCGCCTCGCTTGCCGCATTTGTCGGTCACCGCGGCGCCACAACATAAAATCATCGCCATTTCCCACCTCTCTCGACCTTCGTCCTCGCCCATTTCCCACCTCCAACCCTGCCCTTAACGTTGCTCTCTGATGAGGCATTTTCTAAATTGGCGGTATTCATGCATGCATGCGCTGCCCCGCTCCTCCCTCCATTTCCCTGTGTCTTAGGCTAACGGACAAGCATAGGGCTCCTTCGAATTATGACTTCGAATTCCCACTAGCCAGTAAATCTCTAGGATCGCGACTCATCTGATGCACCATGAATACTCTTTGGCTCAGCTTGTCACGTGTGAGCTTGCTTCGAACGAGAAGCCTTAACCAAAAGTTTTGATTTTGCATTTTTGCTCTAACGCAGCAGCGGCCTAATTCCCATGCGGAAACAGATGTAATTCTGAGAGCGCGATAGATCTTTATAAATCAATGGAATAGAGAGAATAACTCAGTTAGGAAATGTCCAAGTACAAGTTCTACATTTCAAGTTTCATCAGAACAAAGCTTATCCTCACGCTATACTTAGATTGGAGGCCAACCCACTCAATGGCTAGATGTAGCCTTTCAAAATTGCGCTCACAAAGCTTATCCTTCCCATGGTCCAGCGCAGCAACAAGACGAACTGAGAGAAGCTGGCGGAGCTTAAGTCCATCACCGCCCGTTGACATTTGCCGGTGTCAGAGAGCTCGCCGTACACGAGGGTTGGCGGAGATCAGGGTGGTGCCTTCGTACGACAATTGCCATTCCCAATGTTACCAATTCCTGGGTGTCATGCCACGAATCCGTATGGAGCACGAGCCCGCCATGAGACTCCTGGAAAGGACGCGTGAGGTTAGGTGGATGAACTTTTGCACATCTGCGGTTGCTAGCGGGGAACCCTTGTCGCTCCAACGTCACGGTGGAAACACCTCAAAAAACGGCAGCAACAACCGCCATTTTCGGAGGCCTTTTCATCACGAATACCATTTAGGATATATAAAGCACAACTCGCTAGGCTTTGTGATGACATAATGAATTGTCCAACTTGGGTAGGGAATCATATATTTTGCATTTTCGATAAGGACAAGGAAGAGCTGAGCCTAAGGGCTAAACATCCTATATGGTATCTATTTCTGTGGGAGAGGAAAAAATTGAAAACGGGAGTCCTCCCGTTCCGTAGGAGGCGAGCTTCTTGCTCCCATCATAAGTCATCCAAGTTACGCTGCTTAAATTTCTTGCTCGCTCGATCTGTAGACCGGTACTCAAACTGTGAGCCGTGTAGCTCAAACACTAGGTTACGAGGCTCCAAGGCGTCTTCACCCGGCTGCTCAGGAGTCGGAATCTCGAAGCGGAATACCGCGTGTTCTTTCGGGATACCTAGCGACTGGTCAATCACCTTTAGTGGTATTGGATCCCTATAGGAGTGAAGGCGGAGGAATAGACTACTCTTGACCACATCCTTCCTCGTGACAATCTCAAACATGAACCTCGTATCCTTAACTACAATCCCCTTAATCCCAACCCTGCTCACGCATCTACACCTCACGACCTCCACCTCAGCCCCCACAAACTCCGCACTCACGAGTTTTGCGACCACCGCAGGGGTCACGGGCACCTGTCCCCCAAGAAGCTCTTGCATATACCCCACCCACATCTGATGTAGAGGTTCGTAGATGTTGTATTTGCGAGCTGAGGCAGGGATCTCGTGGACGCGGAGTAGACGCTTTTCTTTTGCGGAGAGAGGTTTAGGCTTTTGGTGAGCACGATGGAGAGAGAGTTGGCGGGCTTTAGCGCGTGCCTGTTGGCGGTGGGAGCGGGCGTCGGTGGCAGTTTTGGGATCAGCATCTGTAGGTTGGAGGAGGAGTGGGCGATGGAGGACTTTGTCGGTGAAGATTCGGTCAGCGTCTGCGGAGGGGAAAGCTTTGTTGAGGAGTGTGCGGGCGATTGGGGGTGGCTTCTGAGGGGTAGTAGCCATCGTTGTGGATTGTTGTGGAGATGGCCTTGGGAAAGGGTGCCCTGCGGATGATTCGAGATGCGTCACGTGAAGATAAAAGGCGGTCGATAGGATCAACGTTTTCCCTGAGGTAATTCTCTATTCTAACCAATTATTAACCGATTCCGTGGTGTCCCTTGGGATAATGTCTCAGCCCGAAGCTTTCAAGCTACACAAGTGATTTGTTACTTGGATCATTGTGAGTGATGAGCTACTAGGGCTAAGCTGTGAGTCGCCTTCGGGTATATTAATGCCATTTTTTCTTGAGATGATTTCTTAAATGCCCCACGGGATTCAATTTATTTACCCGGATATCACAAAAAGGCTTACCAAAACACCACGTAAATCAGTGCGCAGAACAGTACTGGCGTTATAAGTCGCGAATGTTGAGGAGAAACCCTTATAGCCACAGGAACCCTCCTGAGGGCCACTATTTCGTCATAGTGTATATGTTCAGGATAAACGCCCCATGGCCTTGGGCAGACTCCCAGTACCCCTGCTTTATCACGGAGCACATGTTCGGGAGGGACCCCCATAACCATAAGCCATCTCTAGGGACTACCTCTGTGTCGGGGTGCATATATCCAAGAGAGACACCCAAGTCAGTTAGATGGTGATTGCCCCTGGTTGTGCAGGTAATAATCAGGGACCTTCGGCGATTTTGGCACCAGGGAGGATGCATTCTTCTCTGCTCGAAGTAGGTCTCTTTGTCTTTCTTTCTCCTTACTACCACCCCCCGTGAGTCTTCGCATGCCTAACCTCGTGCCTTGTGCCAACGGACGGATCATATTCTCTAGGAAGAAGGAACTTTCATGAGTTCCTCCCGGAGCCACTGCGTGTTCTTCTTCCTCAGAAAGCGCTTCTTCAATGTCGTCCTCATCATCGGATAGATACTCAATTCCTGTTGACGTATGGAAATTTGGAGACGTCAGTGACCGCGATTGGAGTCCAGGCCCCAGCCGAGGCACAGGAGGTGCAGTGAAAGCTGTAGGGGTCATGACACCTGGGTCGCGCGGTGGAGGGGTTCTTAGATCTGTAAAGCCAGTCTGGAACGAAGTTACGCTTGCGGTTCTTGCTAAGGACTTGTGTAGGATGGGTAGAGTCTGCTGGTCATATAATTGGGCGCCAGCATCCACGGGTACTGAGAAGCTAGTGCAATCTTGTTGTGATCCATGGCTCTGATTCTGTTCCGCCAAATGGTCATCAAAGAAATTGTCTAAGCTGTCCAGTTTCATGACTAACTCGCCCATATTTCCATCTCCCCGGCCTTCGTCGGACATCATCGTGCCAGTCCTGTCCTGGAAGCCGCTGTATCCATAGGGGAAATCTTCATGGTGGAATTCTACATCAGACGTCGCGGGGGGGTTGTCGTCTGCGGCCTCCGCATTTCCGCATGTATAAAAAACTGCATGTACGTTGGCTCTAGTGGTTGCTGAGTGTATAGCTGGCATTGGGATAGACCATCCACTGTCTTCGGGGATGCCGAATAGGCTTTGGGTCCGTTCGTACTCTTTTCGGATGGCTCTGGATTGAGATCCTCCGGCCATGCTCATCCTGAGATGGTGCTTATCCATGGGGGTGCCGGACATCGTCATAATTTGATCTAGGACCTCTAGAGCCTTGGGGCAGAATTCTGTCTGCAGAAGCCTTAGCAAGGGCGAAATCAAATCGGGTCCGTGAGAAGCAATCTCGGATTTCCGCATATCAATGTCCGGAATTATCACGCACAGGAGCTGCATCGTTTTTAACTTGAACCAAGGCAGTCTATTAGTGAGTAGCCCCATAAGGAAGACGAGGATTTTTAGGTCCCATTCCGGAAGATACGATTCACGGATCGCCGAAACAGACTGAGCGAGAAAGTCCTTGCTTGCACGATATCGCGAGTTCGCGAAGCCAGTAAATGCTCGAGAAATCAAGGTACAGCCTTGTGCTTCAGCTACAGAGGCGAGTCTTTCGGCGCACTCGATACAATCCTTATCCTTATCCTCTTCGTCCATGGAATGAAGGAAGCGAGGGAGATTCGCCAGGACCGCAAATAAGAGCCGACTGTCATCTCCAACTAGTTCATTGCTTGGTAGCAAGATGAGTCTATCCATGATTCGTAAGCTTTTATCGAAAGATACCGCAGATCTTAGCCCTTTGTATATAAGGGGCTGGAGTCCGTCAAAAGGGCCTTCCCATTTTGCCGGAAGACTATCCGCAAGTCCCTTAACAGTCCCTGGATCGCCCAAGTCGAGCTTGTCCAGTAATTTCTGTAACATGGAGAGACTTTCGATAAATTCGCTTTCGTGGATGGTGTTAAGACAGGCACAAGTACTCCAAAAAAGCTGAGGATATTGTAGTAGATCTGCAGGAACAAGCGCCCCAATGATCGTCTCGAGCGTTATCAAGATCTCCATGGAAAAAGTTTGTATATCAGTCTCGTCATCTGCGATGGTGTTCGATAGACGAGCTAGCATATCCGAGAGCATTGCCTGATCCAGAGATGTTAGTATGCACCTGAAGATCTGAAATGATCTGCAAGCTAGATGTCGCACTGAGCAAGAGGCTGCCCAGTTAAGGGCTGTTTTGCCCCATTGCTCCTTAATTCCCGGAAAAGCAATGGTAAAAATATCGACAACTTGGACGGCCAGGAACATCATCGACCTTGGCACTTTGTTGCCACTACCATCATTCTCACTGTTTTCGTCATGAGCCCAGACGGTCTTGGATTCATGTCGGCGAACAGACTCAATGAAGTCCTCTATTGCTTTCTTGTTCGGGATGGTACTCTCATCCTCGATTTTTGAGATGACGAGCTCGTGGATCAAATGAATGAGCATTTCTCGCGCCTGGTCCTGGACCAAGGGGGTGTAGTGGTCCCACAAGACGAGAACGACCTGAAGAAGTAGAGGT